TGGAAGCTTTTCTTTCGGCAATGTTTTGCGTTTGAAGATTACAAATGGTGGTAGTTTGTTTCCATCAGCAGTGATACCAAGCATTACGGTACACCGCTGCTTTTCTGCTCCTGCAGTCCGCACATGCACTGTTTTTTCGCCTGCTTTGTTCACTGTACTTTCACCCGGCATTTCAAAGAACACAGGAGTTTCATCAACATTTCCAATAGCTCCCATGGTGTAGTTGTGCGTCTTTCTTAATTTCAGGACATGTTTTTGAAATGCAAGCAGTTTCTCCTGGTATGTGTCGGGAAGGCGCTGCGCTATTGACGTCCGTCGCCGAATTACAAGATCATGTCGGGCCATAAAGCGCCTTGCCCATCCATAACTTCCCTTAAATTCATTACGAGGAATTTTCATTCTGTCCGCTATTTTGAGGCCTTCAAATTGAATCATTTCCACAGACACTGAAAATCCATCCGCCCGTGTATTACACACGTATCGCAAAAGTTTATTTTCAAGTTCTGGAAATTTAGCTTTCTTTCCGCAGAAAGATTGTCGATTTTGTGACGTTTTTTCAAGGGCATCTTTCGTTAGTATCCCTCTTCGCACATTTTTTCGTCAACGTCGAATTTTCTCCTTGCTGCTCAATTTCCGTGTTCTTGTGCGTAACGCACCACTTGAAGTTTAAATTTAGACGTATAACCGGCTCTTACTTGACCCATGTTTCACTCAGAACTAACCAGGCAAGTCAAGTAAAGGCGAAAAGGTTATAACTTTCCCCCGCAATGTCTTTGTTCCAAGTGGTACCGTTATTTTCGCTAGTTGCGAACTTAGGAATGTTAAATGTTGCCAAATCTCGGAATAATTTCCACTCCTGAAATAATATTCCAAGAAAATTATTTTTTCTATAATTTGTCTGAAAATTGTACTGCAGCCTATACACGCACGCGGCCTATACATGCGTAAATACGGTAATAAACTACTTGACTACATTCATCTGTAGTGTATTTAATAAAGGTATCAGCATCTCACACTATGAACTGTTAACTGAATGGACAATAGTGAATAATTAATTGGGAAGGATGTGGAAGTCTTGGCCTGATTTGAAGTACTGCCATGGCATGTGGCTGGAGGGAAAGACGTAAGCCGAGCGAAACCATGAAAAAACTCAATAAAGTTGGTGTGCTGGGTTGAGAAATGAACCAAGAACCTCTTGAATACAAGCCACAAGTGTTACTGCTTGAGCCAACAATGCCTTTAAGTATCTGTCTTTACCCTAGGGACCAATAAAATAGGAAACCTGATCAGTAATTGGCATGTATCTGATGAGCCATCCCTATCAGATCACAGATATATTGGGAGTCTTACAAAGACGACCTAAAGGTAAATCTGGAGACCATCTCGCAAAATATATGCACAATAAAGGATGGTGATCGGTCCACTGACCAGTTGCAACGGGCTATTATCTTGTCCTTTAACTGAAATTGTCCGGCTTGGACCACTTGCGAACCAAGGAGAGTGCCCTGGTGGACTAAACCGCTGAGTGGGCTTAGAATTAAAATGAGACGGATGTTTAATATAGCTAAAAGAACAGGGCAGTGGGACACCTACAGGGAAGCCCTTACCTGTTACAACAAAGAAATAAGGAATGTCAAGCAATCCACCTTGAGGAGGCACTGCTAGAAGATCAATGATGTACCAGGCAGTGCCAGACTCATGAGAATCATGGCAAAACAGGCGACAAACAAGGTCAGCACAATTAAGCTGCCTAATGGGCAGTATACTCAAACAGGAAGAGACTCACTGAATGAATTATTCAGGGTTCACTTTCCTGATTCAAAATTGATTGATAATTTGGACGATGGACAGGGTCAGCAAAACCTGGGCACTTGCCAAAGCAAGACAAACAGGGCAGACTGGAACCTGGCCAAAGTCATAATTAACCAATCAAAAATCAGATGGGCACTGAATACCTTTAGACCATTTAAGTCAGCGAGAACAGATGGAACTGTACTGGCACTTCTGCAGCAAGGGGCAGAACTCTTAGTTCCACACCTGTGCCACATATATGAGTATAGAGCCTGCATGGTATATGGTTTTATCCCCATGGCCTGGAGGCAAGTTAAGGTGACATTTATCCCAAAGCCCGGGAAACTAGATTACACCAAGGGCTGAGGCTTATCGTCCTATCAGCCTGCCGTCTTTCCTGTTGAAAATGATGGAGAAAATAGTGGATAGGCATATCAGGGATGGGGCGTTGAGGACACATCCTCAACACCGAAACCAGCATGCCTACCAAACAGGTAAATCTACCGAAAGTGCAGTAGACAATGTGGTAACGCGCATAGAAAGTACGATTGAACACAAGGATATTGCCTTAGGAGCATTCTTTGACATAGAGGGAGCTTTTGATAGAACCTCATTTCATATAATCATACAGGCCACTGAGAAGCATGGCAGAGAGCCTGCAATATGCAGGTGGATCAGTGTGGAAAGTGATGTGCATGGTATTCTGGGACAGAATGTCGACTTCCTGACCAGAGGTGAGATGGTGAATGCTGAGCGTTACTGTGAAACACTGCAGAAATTGTGACAGGCCATTCAGAACAAGCGGCGCGGGATGCTTAGTGCCGGTATTGTCTTCCTGCATGATAACGCTAGGCCGCACACGGCTCGACAGACAGCAAGTCTCCTGCAGGAGTTCAGTTTGGAGGTGTTTAATCTTCCACCCTACAGCCTGGACCTCACTGCCAGTGATTTCCATCTTTTCCCACACCTCAAGAAATTCCTGTCCGGTGAGCGTCAGCGTTTTGAGAATGACAGAGAGGCAGAGATGGCTGTCACACAGTGGTTCCAATCCCAGGTGGCAGACTTCTATGACACAGGTATTCAAAAGTTGGTCCCAGGGTATGACAAATGTCTCAGTTCTGGTGGCGATTATGTTGAAAAAAAGCTGAACACTTGCTGTATCTGTTGCAATAAATATTTCCATGAAATTGTGTTTTGTTTCTGTAAACGGCCCCAGGGAAACTTACTTTGTGGACGAGCCTTGTAGAACAAGAATTTCTATCTTAAAATTTGATTTTAAAATACTGTGCGCACGCGTGGACTGTGCATATCCATACGGTGTCGCACAGCCACTCGGCTACACTTTAAAGGTCTGCATACGGCGTCGCTAGGCTCTTAAAGGTTGAGGGTATAAATTTTATGGAAGTATGATATTGTAATAGACCATCTGTTTTAAATAACACATGACAGTAAACAATTAAGATGGTCATGAATGCTTTACTTACAGCTCATTTCTTTTTATCCTGTAGAGGAGTATGTTAATTAATAGTTTTCAAATTTTAAGGTTCTTGCTATGAAATGAGTGATAGTATATACTGAATTTTTATTATATATTCTAATTTTTAAATCCTGATAAAATGTATTATATTTGGACTGTTAAATTAAGTATTTGTAGTTATGTGATAGAGATACACTCAACTCTCGATTATCCGGGGGCGGATAAACTGGTTTGCGGCTTAACTGGGGCTTTTTTGAGGCTTATATGTTGTTTAATATTCATTCACTTTTGTTTCACATAGTGAGTTGTAACACTATTTTCGCACTAGTGTGAACCGAGCTCTGCACTTTTTGGTCCCGTTATGCTAACACAATGTTCTAGGGTAAGGGTGAGAGAATGCAAAAATTTGTGGAAAGTTTCAAGGACAGATACACCACCCCAGTTAGTCTCTTTGTATCGATCTTCAAGTGCATTAGCAAAATGTCAGGGTGTAAAAGGAAGCGTGTTGTGATAAGTATTGAATAAAAACTCGTGTGAACCGGGCTTCGAAATGTTAAGAAGTGACGAAATCGTAAGGTCAGTGGGGCTGCAGTCAGAAGAGCGGGAAGAAAGTGAGAATGAGGAAGATGTGGACGCTGCTGCTAGTAAGAAAATATCACATGGTGCTGCTCTTAATCATTTGGAATCCTTACTAGACTATCTTGAGAGTGAAGAGAACAGTTTTTTAAGTGACAAGCTAATATTACATAATCTCCATATGGATATCCGTAAAAAGGAAAATGCCATGAAAAAGCAAACGACAATATTAAATTTTTTTAAGTGTTAAGTGTGAATAGTCGTAAAAAGTGTTGGATGTTGTTGAACACTGTGATTGAAATAACTAATTCATACTTCAGTGTAATGTAAAAAAAAGTATTAAATAGGCCATGAGATGAAATAAAAATGAGGTTGAGTAAATTTAAATACAGGTAGGCCTATAGTATTATGAAGGTACAGTATTACAGTACTGCTTTTAATAAAATTTGTCTTAACTGGGTTTTCGATTAATCGTGATTTCCATCCCCACCATTATCCCGGATAATCGAGAGTTGGGTGTAATTGCATCAAACTTCTATACTGTGAATATGTCTTTTGTATTAATTTATGATTGTGACAACGATAATCATATATCTGCATAAATTTGATCATATTTCAATATTTTATGTACAAATTTTGTACTGTGACTGTATTGCATGTTGATGGGTCCATTGTTTTTTATGTATGTGTTTATGTATTTTGACATGTTCTATATCCTATGGCATGCATGACCTCAAAGGATCTATGGAATTTAAAATAGAATGAAATGTCTACTACATGTTAATTTATAAGACATTTCCAAGATTATTTACTCAAAGAAAAATTGATAAATCCAGTTGACATGCCAAATAACAGCCTCAGCATTCATCTAGAAAAATATGCAAGCAGAATTCATGTGCTTCAAATATCACTCATAAGACAATCACACAGGAGGAGTAGGCATATGTGGGCAGTGCACAGCACTCCACTGCAGCAAGCAGCAACTGTGTAGCATGTAGTGCTTACCCATTTCATGCTGAGTGGTAAATGATATAGCATACAATTTCCTTGCCAAAGGACTTAAGCCTCTAACAGCAAAAATAAAAGTTTTTCAATCACTTATGTGGCTGTATAAGTCTCTCTTCCACTTAAGAAATACAGAAACAGCTTCACAAACCTGAAGGATAACCACATGCCCATGCTGAGCGAGGTACTTCTGCAGAGCAGCCATGGATGATGGGGACAAGTGTAAACGGTACTTGCATGACCTGAAACAGCAGGCAAAGCTAACTAAACCCCATACATGTGACATCTCCACACACTTCACATGCCGCAGCAATTCAGACATAAGAACTTCCCAGATTCTGGAAGAATACCTTCTCCTTGGGCTATCTTACCATATCTAATCACTGTCAGTCCCAAATCATTAGTGTCACAGTAGCAGCATGCAGGTCTGTTGGCACCTTACTATATTATGTGTGTTTTAAGCTTTAAGCAGACGTTTCTCCTAAGTCCAAAAAAAAAAAAAAAAGTGATATGATTCTGAGTCCCCAAGCCCCTCTTCATTAAATATTAACAACAGATTTAAGTTTCACTAACATTCTTTTTAATGAGATACTTGTTAAATGTGAATTAATGTTTGATGAATATACTGCTGTCTGAGTACTGGAGAGTTCCATCTCCAATCTTGGGCAAAAATGAGGTGATGCACATTTCTGATTTTCTGTATTGTGCTACACTATCTCTACAAGCTCCATACATTCACATTACATGCAAGTGTAAGATTTCAAAATGTGTTTTGTTGTAAGTCACATTAAAATGCAGCTGTTCCCTTAACTTCAAATTCTGCTTCCTCAAACTTGGTGTTGATGGACACAGTACACTTCGATATTGGGATGATGACAAGTATTGCAAAGATTATGTAATGGATTTCATCAACGCATTGCTAGGCAATGACTCTGTAAACATGTTCCAACATGCAACAATGGGAGCTGTGTTTTCAGTGGATGAATGTTATAGCTTGTTGCTAGGCAGCAGTCAGCGCACCAATGAGCTAGCTGGATGGTGATCACATGGTAAACCCAACAGAGGCGGCACGCAACAACAGAGGAAGCCGTGTTTTCTGCATGGTCTGTGCCGTGTCTATAGAACGGGTGTTTGCAACTGATGTGCAGGCGGGGTCAAATACCTCCACCGTGACCCTGCGAGTTGTAAGAGGCAACGAAAAGGGAAGTCTCAAATCTGAGACAGTAAAATATGGTCTCAAGTCCCAAGGGACTCAGACCTGTGAAAGACTGCACTGGCAAGACCAGCAGCATATACAAAAGGCAGACCCGTCCTCTCGTCAGAGAGGGTGCCCTATAAAAACAAGACTGTAAATGCCAAACACCAATAAATATCTGGTCATGAGCCCCAGATGGAGCTTGACACCAAGACTTACTGACTGACTGACCGTCAGTCGCAATGTGACTTGGACTTGGAGAAGAGATTAGCTGAGTAGAGAGACCGGAAATAGGCTGGCGATAGAATTGGAGAATTGGGTCCAGTTCTGGAGAACTGGCAGTCCTAGGTGATTGAACAAGAGACAGCAAGATTTCATAGCGATTTCAATTGACAGTTTCTGTTTTAAGATCCCTTGCCAGGAGACAACTAATGGAAACTGAGAATTCTAGTGCATGTGCAATGGTGAACTTGAAAGTGTGTAAATCAACGATAGCACTCTGCTGATTGTAATTAAGAGAGACTGTAACCGAAGTGCCAATAAATCAAAATCTTCTGATTCAGAACCAACAATTATTCATCAGGTGTTCCCCTTCTACGCGTGACAGTAATTATAGTTATGGTGTCAACTGATGTGAGAACTTCCCCATACACAAAAACATTAGGCAACTGTATGGGCTGGCATGCTGATAATGTATTCAGGGGGTGCTCTGTTCAAATTTGGACCAGGACGCCAACTATCCTGACTGAGATCTTTCATGGTTTTCCTCAGTCCATATTAGGCCACATGCATGTCAAAAACCATTCAATTTATCATTTACCTCTCATCTTACCATTTTATGCTATATAGTCCAGTTACAGATGACATCATAAAGTAACCATCCCTAAAAAACCTAAAGCTTGCCATTGTGACATTATGCAGCAATCAATGGTTCTCAGTGGCCCTGAGAGGTGCCTATGCTTATATCGGTATTGCAGTCTATACCTTTGCCAAAAATAAATTTCTATCTGTGCATTAACACAAAGGAAGCCTACACAGTGTACATGGAAAAAATAGAGTACATGCTGGAAACGTTCAAACAGTAGATATTGATGAAATTTAGAGGGGATGTCAGTGTTTGTTTCGTACCTGACAAGCAAATCCCTCTTTAGTTTCAGTTGGACAAGTTGTGATTGAAAGTCTTTGGAGAGAAAAGACAGGTTAACTATTTTTGACAAAGTTTGTCTTTACAGGTAACCTTTGCCACAAATATTTCCTCTCAACAGGAGCAATACAGTGTACTGCCCAATATAATTCTTTTACATAAACAACTGGTAGCTGTCTCACCAGAACTTTTTAAGTTACTGAGATTAGCTCCTGCTGATTAAGTTTCTATTTAACAATTTTCCTTTTAATTTTCAACTCATTAAATATATATAAAAAGGTATAGCTATCCTGTAACAGGCTGNAAGGTTATAAAACCACCATTTAAGATCATTTTAGTGAAAGTTTCATCCTTCAAGGCGTACCATTCACTGCTGAAATACTAAACAACCTGCTTCCATGGCCGAGATACAGGGCGCCCATATTATAAGGTAAGGTTATAAAACCACCATTTAAGATCATTTTAGTGAAAGTTTCATGTTCCTATCTCATATAATTTAAGAACAATGATGAATAAATCATTTTCGAGCAAAATTTAAATGGCCGGCTGAATATATTACCGCCGGAGAGACGGCCGCGGAATTTAAATCACCGCGCAAAAGGGTTAAATATAAATAAAAAGGTATAGCTATCCTGTAACAGGCTGTCAAGGCTCCCACATTTTCTAAACAACTGGCTCACAGGTGACAGTGACATAAGCCTTACATACCAGCTGCCCTTTAACCCCAGGAAGATTCCTGGTACTCATTTCTGCCAGAGGCTGAGTCGACCCCAGGGCCACAGTACAGAGGGAACGATTAGGTCAAGTGAAAAATCCAACGGACTCATCAGGATCGAACTTGTGACCTTCCAGCTTGAAGAATAGTACAACCAACTACAATACCATGTGCCCATTGTTATTATATTGTGACATGTTGCGCAAAGCCGAGCCCCCCCCCCACACCAGCAGTGACGCGGCGG